CGCGCGCGCGCGCGCGTGTGTGTGTGTGTGTGTGTGTGTGGGTGGTGTGTGAGGGGGAAGGGAGAGAGAGAGAGGGAGAGAGAGACAAAGAGCAGAGAGATATGTATTGGCATTCGCGTTTCACACACACACACACACACACACACCTCTCGCATCGCAAATTTCTCGTCTTGGGCGACAAACGGCACGCAGCTTCTCTCAAACTGCTAGGAAACACGAGAAACATCCCTCGATCTCCTCCGCCTCCTCCCTCTTCCTCCCCCTTCCGGTCGCTTTCACAGTCCGCCAATGTAACTACAGCGTTCGTCTCTTTATGTAAATCGGTCGAATCCACGTCGGGCAATAAAATGTAAAGCAGGAGTGCGCCGTGCGATTCCCTCCATCCTTCGTCTCCTTCGTTGTCGTCGTCATCGTCGTCGTACCAAGCGCTCGCGCAACATCCCCCTGCCATCCCCTTTTGCTACCGTACGACGGTGGCGTTTCTACCCCGGTGCACCTGGTACAAACTGGCAAGATAATAGTTGAGGAGAGGAGAAAGAAGTTTCCGTGTGCTGCACACACGCTGTCCTCGTCGCAGCGCGGCTTCCACTTCGGTGGCCATTCCCGTCGAGTATCGTATTGTGCGATTTTCCTTTCCTTTCTCGGGTCGCCAGTGCGGCCAGGTGAATTTATTGGCCATATCGCGGCAAAGTCGCCGGTTTACTTCCATACTTCGCGAAAGAAATCCGCCGTCCGGCTTTTGCGAATTTTGTCGCGACGTTGTCCGTGAAATGCGTCCGCGATTATACCGCGATATATTTCGCCCAGATATTTTCATTTGCTTCGGATTTTATGGGACAGATTATAAAAATGGTTGCGTGGTGCGGAAAAAAAAACTCTGAAAGAATTTTCATTGTGTGTTTCAACTTATTATATATCAAAGTTCGGATAACAATTAGTTTTCAAAAAATTAAAATAGTATTTTTCAAAAAAATTAAGTTTTAGATATTAACAGAACAAAGATTCTCGATATGGCAATAATGAATAGTAATAAAAATCTAATAATGAGAATCAGCGTCGCAAACATTGCGCGATTATATGTTTAATTTTATATGTTTATTAACATAACTACGTTTATTAATAAAGTGTCAAACGTTTCGATTTGAATTTGAGTTATCTTTAGTGATACAAAAATATAATAAGGATATATCCCTGAGTCTAATCGTTGAACCCGTAATAACATTATCATTATTTTTTTATGGTTAAGCTCATCGATTGGACTCAGGGATATATCTTTATTGGACTCATCGACTCATTATCGTCCATTATTAAGTTTTCGATCTTTTGCGATAACATTTTATTCTCTAACACACATCAATCTTGTCTTGTTTAAAAAAGAAAAAATATTTTACTTTTTACAATTGATATCATATTTGCACGTAGAAGAAGATAGACGTTTCTCTTAACAATATATATTTCTCTCCTCTCATTATTTTTACTTTCTGGGAAATAATTATCCATCTCTCTCCAACGGTTCGCAACGGCTTTACCGGCTTTCCTTTTTGACTTTACCACGTGAATGAATGAAAGAATAAGCTTTCGCGTTATTTCCTCGGCTAGTTTCTCAGTATATACAGGCCGGGTCTTTGGGAAGCGGCGCGATTAAGCCGGGAATAGATACAGGCGACACCTTCTCACTTTTCTAGTCGACCTTCTCGCGCTTCTCGGTGAGAGACTTCGCGCATGAATAGGCTACGTACCCCCGGCGCACCTCTCCCGTAACGTTGCGGATCCAGTTTTCCCGTACGTGGGCACAGATTCAGCATTCAGCAGAGCCAACGCATCGTACCCGTCGTGCATATACGGGGCGTGTTATGGGCGGTTATATTACGAAGGGCTAAAGAGCCGTACGGTCGGACCCGCGTTCGTACCCTATCTCATAGAGACATGCCACGTTTCGCTTCTTCGATGTGCAATAAAGTCTACTCTCGTTACAAAAAGCACGGCACCGTGGCAAAAATCGTGCGAGTTTACCCCGTGGCGCGGCGCACGCGACTCATAAAGAATATACATATCGCGCGCTTATAATCATTATGAAAATAAACATGTTCGCACAACGTTACGCGAAAGTTGCAGTCTCGAGGAAAAACTGGAAAATTATTATGTGGAATCATTTTTCCGCTTCGCGGCACGAAATCCTTGTTGCTCATAATCATTATGAGGAAGCGTTCAACGAAATATTAAACGGCAGATTCCTCGCGCGATTGCGTTAGTGCATCGGCCTGTTTATAACAGTTAGGAGGAGTTAGTATCATTAGATTAAATATTAGAGTTTCAATCTTTTAGCTGCCTTTGCTTGAAGCAATATTTGCGATATATCGGAGGCGCGGAGGTGTCTTACGGGCCATTGGCGAGGTCGATCTAAAAGCCGACTGTAAAATAGATCCGAGGAAGAAAATATGTCAATAGAAAAGTTCTACTTTCTGCCCAAAGGAATTTGGCGCCGTGCTTTCCGTGGAAGAAAATTTAATCTCTTGATGGCGCGATCCCATCAGAGACTTTTTTCATTTGAGATTGAATATATATTAGCTGAATTCCAAGTAGAACAAATTCATTCTTCTAGCGCAAATAAAAAGCCGAACCGAAATAAAAAGCTTTAATAATTTACCAGCGTCTTTTAACAGTTTTCTGTTTTTTTTTTTTATTATCTCTATTGGCTCTTTTACGTTATTTTTTTCACTTATCGGACGAGTGATACATAATAAGCGCTTTAATTTCTATGGGATTTTACGAGAGAGATTATGGCGGATGTAACGAGAGTTCGTCTTTTATAAACCAGCTTCTGGCGTTGAAAGCGGCACTTAAGCGGCACTTTTTCGCGATGCCGCAAAGATATGACACAACGAGCCTCCCAAGACAAAGCTGACGATTTAATGCGCGCGATTCGCGACGAAGGCGTAGCCGACGTTGGATTATGAAAATGATTGTCGCGGAAGCGGCAGTGTGTGCGGTATAAAGAGCCACGACTAATTGTTATGCTTCCCCTAATTCCTCGCGTAATGCGTCCCTCGTATCTTTATGGTAATTCAGCGTGTTAGCGTCTTTTTGCTAGGCATGCTAAAGTCATTTCTTCGCTCAGTGTTTTCGCACTGCCGTGATAATAAATGCCGCGAAAAGAATTACGATCGTCCCGACTGGTCTCTAAACAAAAGCGCGAACAGTCGTTCGTTGATGGGAGCTTTAAGAGCTTCCATTCTTTACGGATATAATTATTTTTTTCGGAGCAAGTACGAGCGTACACTTTCCGAAAACGGAGTAATGGAAAACGAAATTAATTAACGTTGGAGGTAAAATTTAAAATATATACGTAATTATATTTCTTAAATGCTTTTTGCGATCGTGGAGTAAATATGCGGAGTAAATATTGAAAATAGATTTTTGCGTTTTTTTTTAATAATATTTATATTTTTCTAATATATTTTATATTTATTTCTTTTTCCAAATTAGAAGTAATTTGCTAATTCAGAATTCCAATGGAATTGCCATAAGAGAGTTGAGAAGAATAATGCTTTGTCAGTGACGTTATAGTTTAGAAATACTTTGCATACTCGCATGCGTTATTTAAACGTGATTTGCTTTCGATTGGCTTTGTTTGACCTTCTATACAAATCCAGCGTCATTGCGGAACCGGGTTTTAATGAGATATCCGGAAGTGTGCCATATATTTGCGCGTCATTGTGAAAGTCACATAAATTCTATAGCACCGGTTTTCTTGATAATCACGTCATTATTTCACCGCATTCTACAATGATCACCAGTTTCTCTGGTTGACTTTTGATTTGTAATCATGATTTGTAATCATGTGTCAGTCACCTATCATGACGATGACTCTATCATGGCGATCGCTGTGCTGAAAAGGAAAATAATCCTTGAGGTAAATAAAAATTTGCGAGAGATAAAATGGCAAACGTAATTTACAAATTGACAATATGGTTAATCAGGGAAATCCTGTTTTCACTCATATTTCGCATATAAATATATCATTTTGTTATCGTATTTTGTTTCTCACTATTTGATAATCTTGACATAATCTTGGCTAAACATGTCGTGATACATTTCATT